CCAATCGGTAATGAAACGTTGCAGATCGTCATCTCTCATCCTCAGTTCTTTAAGGCGCTCGAAATCGTGCAGGTCGTCGTCAACTTCTGTCACTTTGTAGGACTGCAGGATATGCCAGTAGATCTGGCGTCCTTTGAGCATGCGTCCTGCTTTGTGCTCTTTAGTCTCGATGAGCCTGATTTGGTAGCGTAAGTCCGAGGATAAGATGTCGCTCAGAGCGGTAGCGAGTTTGCAATCGATGCTCTCAAAGTCTCCGCTGTCTTGTAAATCCTCGAATGTACATTCGGGTTGTTCAGCCACGCATAGGAAAGCGCATGCTTTAGATGGTCGCCCTGAGGCGGCCCCGAAGTTCTTCCGTACTTTTTGCTGCCACTCCAGCAGCTGCGTGATCTTAGGCAAGACAGGGACTCGAACGGTGTCTGACTCCTTGATCTGAGTCGTTGCATGGACCGACACCGCAGACAATGGTTGTGAGGGTATCGGTGCACCGTCGGTGGTTGGTTCTGTGCGCACAGGAGACACATGACGTGTCTGTGCAGAAGCTGCCGCGGAGGCTGCTCCTGGTGACGTACGTCGTTGTTGTCCTGCGGAAGCTTGTGGTGCTTCGGCGGACGCTGCCGTCGGCCTGTGCGGGTCGGCTGCAGGTCGAAGGTGGAGGTTGGTGTCGTTAGTGTGGTCGATCAGCTGATTCGTCCAGCTCGTCATGTCTTCGTGTATTTGACCCACCTTTTGGCGTGTATACTCATCAGTATCCCGAGAACGTTGTGAATACCGATCAAGTCGATGCTCGCATGCTCGGAGACGGGCGCTTTGTGCCTCCATCTCGCTTTCCAGACGTGCGAGGTAACTCTCTACACGTACCTTCTCAGTATCTCTTTCATGAATAACCTGGGAGAGCTCCAACTGCGCGTGGTCCGCCGCCTGCTGAACCTCCTGCAACCTGTCAGCGAGGCGGGCGAAATCGCAAACCGTGGGAGGAAAATCCAGCTGATCAGTCTGGGCTCGTCCGACACGCAACTCTGCCAGGGCGTCCTGTACACCAGGAAAACGCTGCTCTATGTCAGAGATCCGGTTAGCGAGTGGCTGCACGACAGCGTTGGTCGCATCAAGCCTTGACTCTCTCAGTACGCTGCAACATGTCGATCAGGTTCGACGAGTTGGTGTGCTTCGGTGCGAAGCGTCGCCGTAGTGTGGTCTAGATAAGATCGAAGATCATTGATCCGAGACTGAACGTCGCCAAGGTCTGCGGCCTCGGCTGGGGTTGGTCGGTTGCGGAGCTGGTCGTGAATCTCATCATGTAAAATCCTGACTGCTGATACGCCTGTGTCGCGTACGAGCGCAAGCTGTTGCTCCATCTGCGCGAGGTAGTTGCGCAGGTTCTCGACCATCGCCGTTCGTTCACCTGAGTGTGACACCTCACGATCAACCTGGCACTGCAGTTCTCCTATGATGCGTCGATCTTCGGCGATCCTGGAATCGATGATCCCTAAGGCGCCGTCAAGATCGCGGCGCATGGCTGCAGTATCGGTGGCGTTCGTCTGAACGCTCTGCAGCAGTCCAGAGCATTGGCTGGACACGAAGGTTTCAACCTGGTCTCTGAGCTCAGCTATGTCACCTGCGGCGGACGTCTCCGCCAGCTGGTCGTCTGAGATGGAGAGGTGGGGAGCGTCAGCTTCCCTGTGTCCCCTGTCGCGGGGAGTGCATGGCCTCTGAGAGGCAGTGCGCGGGCTCGACCTACTTTCGCCGCATGGGCCTGGGGCTCCACGGCGGTTGCGCGCGGACGAGCTGCGACTCGGACCATGTGTGTGTGGTGTCTCATCCGAGGATACCTTGGGGTACCGCGTCTGTGGCTGTGCCGACACTGGCCTACTGAGTTCCTCGAAGGTGGCAACGTGCTCCGCCACAGGGACGGTCGCAGGGCTGGGGGTCCCAGCGCCTGAGGTCCATCGGCGGTTAGCGCGAAAGCGCCCTGGAGTATCGAGACCAGTAAGGCTTTCGCCTGACGCGGTTGGGATTGCTCCCGACGGGGAAGGGGAGGGAGGATCGAAGGTCGGCGTGTGAAACTCCTTCCTTCCTGTTCCTACTCCTTCTCCTGTCCCCCCGCGGGCGGCGCTGCGGTGAAGTTCAGCAGCTAGTCGCGCCTCGGGTCCTTCGGAGCTGGGGGGGGTATCAGGAACACCAACACAGTCCGCACTAATGCTCTCCAACTCGTCACCGAGCCGTCGTGCCGTGGGAGAGCTCGGACGCGAGGCCCCGATGGAACCCTTGCGGCGCATGCGCCGAAGTGGCTCCATCAGGCTCGCATGCGAGGTCACCGCGGGCGAGTCGGTGAGGGTGAGCTTTACAGGGCTGATAACCTGTGCATGGGGTTGAAGTACAAGGGTACAGAACCCCTGATCCGTTGGTAGAGAGAAGGAGGGATAGATGGATATCTTTCCCTCCCGCACGATCAAGGTCTGATCGATATATCTCAATACCTGAGCCCAAACGGCCAGGCGCAGGAGAGGTAAGGATAAGGAGTATATATGAGGGTATTATGCGGGTTCCATTCACATCCTGGGGCCCGAGCGCCAGCGATCGGCAGCTGAAGCAGCCACGACCACTGCATCACATCGCCAGTCTGCTGCAGCGCGCCAGGCGGCAGCTTCGTCAACACGCTCCCGTCCAGTCGAAGACTGTGACGGTGGCTGCGGCTCCCGGGGTCCTCCGCTCAGCGAAGAACCTATCGATACCCTCCTCGAGCGTTTGGAAACGACGCAGGCGGCAACGCCCACTGACGTACTTGCCACCACCCAGCCTGGGCGCGATCGCTTGCCACGCGACCGCGCCTCCTCTCTGGACGCCGAGGAGGCCCCCTGCCGAGTCCGGGCACCCCCAGGCGGCTTAGCAGTGGAGCTTTGACGCCCTTGCAGCAGCCCGCGAGATGGCTGGAGGTGCTGGTGGCTCCGCCGTTGCCGACCCCCCTGGGCGGCTTGCAGGGGGTGGCCGGGGGAGGCTCCGGCTCGCCCTGGCTCTCGGCCCCGCGGCGGCCGTCCCGAGCGCCCGCCGCGCTGGCGACGATCCAGGGCTCCCCCGCGCCAGGCCGCGAGGCAGGAGGAGGAGGAGGTGGAGGAGGAGCAGAAGGAGGAGGAGGAGGAGGAGGAGGAAGAGGAGTAGGAGGAGGAGGAGGGGCCCAAGCCTGGAGTAGGCCTCGAACCCTTGGGCAGGCACGTGGGTGGCCCGCGTTCGGTTCTCGGGCCCTCCGCGCCCCCACGCGCGAGCTCGCCCGGCGCCTGCGCGGGGCGGGCTCGGTCCGAGAAAGCTGCAGATCACAGTCCCTTCTTCTTGTATCATACACGCTCTGCTCCCATCATCATCAACAAATCATCAACAACATCATGGTCATCATCATCATCATCATCATCATCATCATCATCATCATCATCATCATCATCATCATCATCATCATCATCATCATCATCATCATCATCATCATCATCATCATCATCACCAGCATCATCAGGAGCAGCATCATCATCCTCATCATCATCATCAGCATCATCATCAGCATCAACATCATCATCATCATCATCATCATCATCATCATCATCATCATCATCATCATCATCATCATCGTCACCATCATCATCGTCATCATCATCATCATCACCATCATCATTATCATCATCATCACCATCATCATCATCATCATAATCTCATCATCATCATCACCATCAACATCAAGAGCAGCATCATCATCATCATCATCATCATCATCATCATCATCATCATCATCATCATTCTCATCCTCAGCACATCAACAACATCATCGTATTCATCAGCATCATCATCATCATCATCATCATCATCATCATCATCATCATGAGCAGCATTATCATCATCAGCAGCACCATCGTCATCGTCAGCATCATCGTCATCTGCATCATCAGCATCAGCATTAACATCATCATTACCATCATAATCAGCAGCATCGTCATACTCAGCATCAGCATCAACATCATCATCATCATCAGCAGCAGCAGCACCATCGTCATCATCATCATCATCATCATCATCATCATCATCATGATCAACATCATGATTATCATCAGTATCACCATCATCATCAGCATTATCAGCAACATCATCGTCAGCAGCAGCAGCGGCAGCATCATCCTCATCCTCATCCTCATCATCATCATCATCAGCAGCAGCATCAGCAACATCCTCATCCTCATCCTCATCATCATCATCATCATCATCATCATCATCATCATCATCATCATCATCATCATCGTCATCGTCATCGTCATCGTCATCGTCATCGTCATCGTCATAGTCATCATCGTGATCGTCACGGTCACCGTCAACAACACCGTCATCGTCATCATCATCATCATCATCATCATCAGCATCATCATCGGCAGCATCATCGTCGTCGTGTCGTGTCGTGTCGTCGTCGTCTCCGTCCGTCGTCGTCGTCGTCTCCCTCCGTCCTCCTCGTCGTCGTTGTCGTCGTCGCAGTCGTCGTCGTCGTCTTCGTCTCCGTCCGTCGTCGACGTCGTCGTCTCCGTCCATCTTTGGCGTCTTCGTCTCTGTCCGTCGTCGTCGTCTCCGTCCGTCCTCGTCTCCGTCCGTCGTCGTGTCGTCGTCCTCATCTCCAACCGTCATCGTCGTCGTCGTCTCCGTCCGTCGTCGTCGTTGTCGTTGTCGTCGTCGTCTCCGTCCGTCCTCGTCGTCGTCCGTCCGTCGTCGTCGTCGTCGTCTCCGTCCGTCCTCGTCATCGTCCGTCCGTCGTCGTCGTCGACGTCGTCGTTGTCGTCGTCATCGTCGTCGTCTTCATCGTCGTCGTCGCCGTCTCCGTCCGTCGTCGTCGTCGTCTTCGTGCGTCGTCGTCGTCTCCGTCCGTCGTCTCCGTCCGTCGTCGTCGTCTCCGTCCGTCGTCGTCGTCGTCTCCAGCCGTCGTCGTCGTCGTCGTCGTCGGCGGCATCGCCGCAACCACCGTCGCCAGCGGCGCCCACCTCGGCTGGCAGCCACACGGGGCAGAGGCGAACCTTTGGCTCGATGAGCTCGGGGTCCTTGTCCTTGTCGCCCTCGGACTTGGCGGCCTCCCACATGGCTCCGAAGAAGCACTTGCAGAACATGTGGTGGTCCTCCGCGATCACGTCAGGGTCCCAGCCCTGGATCACCCGGTGGGAGGCCAACGCCTGGGCAGCCACACGCGGACCCTACCCCTGCAGGTCGGACTCCTGAAACGCCCGCCGGGGCTCGGAAGCCGACAGGATGCCTGCAGCCAGACGAGCCCCAGCGGGGGTGTCCGATGACCCAGCGTCGACTGGACCCGCAGGGGTGGGGGCTCGCAGTTGATCAGAGGAGCGCCAGCGTGAGGGAGTAAGACGAGAAGCAGAAGTGCACGCCCACCCTCTGGTTCGCTAGCCCGGCCAGCTCGAACAAGAACGTGCCGAAGCCGGACAGCCGGGTGAACGCCGGCACCGCGAAGAGGTTGCGGAAGAGCAACAGCGGCGGCTGCCAAATCGTCCACGCCACCTTGCGCCGCCAGAATATGTCCATGTCCGCTGCCACGGGTTCGTGTCCCAGGGAATCGGGAAGCGATGGATATATGGACATCTGTCCGCCTACGCGGGCGGGCAGACTTCCATAGCCACCACTCCTCGAGGTCCCAGGGCACGACTCCGCAGCGATGGGCGTGGACATGTTCCGACAATGGACGCCTCCTCCTTTGGCATCGTGAGCCCGCGGTACGCCAGGCAGTCGAAGTACTGCGGGTTCCATATGGTGTCCGCGTCGCCCACGGTCAGGAAGACGCGAGACGGGTCCCAGGTCGTGAGCTCGTCCGCGTACCGCTCCAGCGTACCGCGGTACGCCCACTGCGTGTTGGAGGACTTCCCTGCTGTCTCACCCTGGCGGCCCGGGGGGTGGAAGGTGGCGAACATGTCCGAGAACATGCCCTTGCAGCGGGCTATGAGCCGCTCCGCCTTCTGCTGGCCGCTGGGGCCCTCGCGCTCCTCCATACCCAGCGCTATCCGTATGCAGTCCTTGGCGAGCGGGGACTTTGCGATGTTCAAGAGCGTATCGAACATCATCTCCTCGTCCTCCTTGTAATTCGGCAGGATGACGATGTGCATGACGGAAGCGTTGCTCGTCTTGGCCTGCACTTCCCTGAGCATCGCGTGCCAATCCTTGGAAGAGTCTCGGCGCATGTTCAGGAAGCCGACGGTGCAGGACACCGCGAGATTAGCGCTCCAGCAGGCTACGTATCCCGTCAGGAGCGCCGTCAGATAATAAAACGCCACCTGGCTGAAGGCGGCCGCGGCGAGAATAACCAACAGCGTACCGAAGAGGCAGAAGCCTGGAGTCAGGCAGCACAGCCAGGGAAGGAGACCTGGCTCCGAGAGGGAGACATAGCAGTGACGCGAAAGCCCGTCTTCGCCCCACGCAAGACCGCTGTTCCACCGCCTCACGACCGGCTTGCTCGCACTGCCCGGCGTGCTGGTGGCCGCGTCCAACTCCAGCGACCTGCGCACGGAGCCGAGGTGTGCCGACACGGGTGTCCTCATGGAGGTGATGCGCGCATGGGCGGAGTCCCCGACCGACTCGGTCGTGGGCGTCTCGTCCGCGCCTGGGATCTTCAGGTGCTCGCCGCGGAACGCGCGCTTGCTCGTGCCCGGCAGTGAGGGCGGCGACTCCTCGGAGGAGCCGCAGCTGGTCGCCGCAACAAGCCTGGGGGCATCGGGAGTCCTCGGCGTGGCTGGCCCAGGCGCGGCTGCGGACATCGGAACGACTGCTGCCAGGTCCCCGCCGCGAGGATCGTGGGCGGCGGGTGCCCGACGCCGCGCGCAGGCCGCACCACACAAGGCCTCGAGCGGCCTCGGCTGCTCGGCTGGTCGAGCCTTCGGGAGCGGCCTTCGGCGACTCAGAGCTGGGGTCCTGAAGGATGGGGCCCTCGGGTTGTGTTGCTCCCATCGTACGGTCGAGGCGTTGACCTAAGGGACCCTGAATAAGGAACGAAGCCCCTTCTCTTTCATAAGTTAAACTTCCACTTCCCATCGACAACTCAAGGGAAACCCAGGGCAAACTGTGGAACAATGAAGGAACACGGAGCCCCTCCCCAACGAAAAGGGTTCCTTCTTCAGCGCCCCGACTGTGCTCAAGGACCACATCCCGGAAACAAGCTCGAGCACCCCCGAAGAGCATCGAAGCAGCGTCTGCCCGACGCGCTGGCGAGGTGCCGAACGAATAGGCATCGCCTCCCAGAGGCCGACGCGCGAAAAACGGGCAGTGTCGGTACTACCTTGGTGCTCGAAACTCCACATGGTGATCCAGGAAAAAGTCGGTGGGGACAACATAACCCTCGGGACGACCGGCCTCAGACAGTGAAGGTTCAGCCTGAGGGCCTTAGGGCCCGATCCATCAGGGCCACCGAAGCGTCGTCGTCGTCGTCTGAAGGGGCCCACAAACACACAAATGAATATACACAACTAACCGGATTCCCCATATTTTCCCACATTTTCTGTTTTTGTTTTCTTCCCCCCCACTTCCCATATTTTCCCATATTTTCTGGGGAATCGCCGGTGACTTGTGTCTGTGTGTCTCTTTCCCTCCTGATACGGTTTGAGCCGCCGAGGCCCGGCTCAGGCCGCCGCCGGCGACGCGCGAGCGCGCAAGACGCTACTATCCCAGACCCCCTCGCAGGGTGAAAACATCGCGACGCGAAGTGTCTCGCCATCTTCAGTCGGGGACCTGCTGACCCGGGTCAATCCAGACCCGGGTCAGTCAGGCCCTGCAGAATTTTTTTGTTGTTTAGTCCTCTCGGTGCCAGACTGGGGCTCCAACCCAACCACTCAGCCTGCAGCTACTGGCGAAAGCGTGAGCATGCCGAGATGAAACGCGCAGAAAATACGGAGGTGGACTGCAGAGCCCCTCGCCCGCCGATGCGTTCAGGTGGTCGCGGCCAGTCAGGCCCTGCAGAATCCTGCAAGATCCTGCACTCAAACCCAGGTCCACGCGGAGGATCCTGCCAGATCCTGCAGGATCCTGCACCCAAACCCGGGTCAGTGCGCCCCTGGCCCTGCAGGATCCTGCAAGATCCGGCGCTCTGGCCGACCCCCGTTTGCATTGACCCCCGTCTCAAGGCTCCCGATTCGGCCTCCGGGGGCCCTTGCCGGGCCTCGGGACCATCAAAAATCACGACTCGGGATGAAAAACCGATCCGGGGGAAGGGGTCCAGCCAGACCTCTGGGGGTCGCCGCTGCGAAAAAAAAATCCCGGCGTCGGGGGTCTGGGATCGCGTCGCGGTCGGCGATCGGGGGACCCCGGTGGGCCCGCACCGGAGGTCACTCTGGCGAGGGGGCCGTCCTGCACGTCGTTCATGTCTAATCGTGCTCATTTCTGATTGTGCTCGTTTCTACTTGTTCCAGGCCCCCTAGTGGCCAGGATGAAGGGGAACTGGAACACACAAATAAATACACACAAATAAAAATATCCCCCATATTTTACCATATTTTCTGGGTTTTTGTCTTCCCCACCACTTCCCATATTTTTGCATATTTTCCTTGGAGTCGTCGATTAATTGTGTCTGTGTGTTTCTTTCCCTCCTGACAGGAAGAGGCCAAGGATAGAACAATTAGAAATGAAAGGATCTTGGCCCCCAAAAAAATCAAAGACCTGTCGAAGAATTAGAAATGAGCAGTGTGTACGCGTAGTCGAGACCGCTCCCCAGACATGCGACGTCCTGACTTTTTCAATACGGGGTCCCTGGAAGTCCCGACCCTTTCCCCAAGACCGGCTTTTCATCCTGAGTTGTTTTCTGACGGTCCTGAGGCCCGGCGCGGGCCCCCCGAGGCCGAAAACGGGCCCAAACCTTCCATCCTACTATTTTTTCCTTTTACGACGCGCTCATGTCTGGGCCCGTGGCTAGCGGCCTCCGGGCCGGAGTAGATGGGGTCGGAGGATCGCACCGCATCGCCGATACATCGGCGATGCATCGGCGATGCATCGGCGATGCATCGGCGACATCGGCGATGCATCGGCGACTCCAGCGTGGAGAAAATCGGGCTCCACATCGAGCCGCATCGCCGATGCATCGACGACACGGCGCGATCCTCCGACCCCATCCGCTCGGACCCCATCCTGGATGCCTAGAGTGGTGGCCAACTCTCGGCCACCGGCGGCGTTCGGCCTACCCCGAGATCCGACGTCGTACTTTTTTCAAGACGGGATCCCCGGAAGTCTCGACCCATTCCCCAAGACCGGCTTTTCATCCGGAGTCGTTTTTTGACGGTCCCGCGGCCCGGCGACGGCCTCCAGAGGCCGAAGATTGCGACAAAAACTCCGTCGTGATTTTGTTCAAGACGCTGGATCTCTGGGTAGAACGCTCGCGCCAGTGCCGCTGCCACGCCGACGTGGCGGGGACCTGCCGCGGCGTGCTGCTGCGCCACGCCAGGCTCGCTGCCGCGCGCTGGGCCCCGGCGCCGGCGCCAGGCCGGGCGCCGGGGCCTCGGGCCGAGCGGAAGGCTCCTCGGCTTGGCCGCCTTCGGAGGAGGTGGCCAAGTTGAGCCGAAGTGGCTGCAGATCGGAGGAGGAAAAGGTACCCATGCCTCTACGCCTCCCTCGTTTTCCCCATTTGGGGGGACTCCTGGGGGGCCCTCGTCGCCACCGCTGGATTCGCCTCGAAATTCTGGTCAGAACGCACCCCAGGAGAGGTCTGGGGAGTAGCGGTATCGGTACCTTTTGGATTCCCCAGCAAAGGGGGAGGAGCACAAGCTGAAGGGGGAAAGGGGAGGGGGAGAGGAGGACCGCAGGAAAGAAACCGGCGTGGCAGGTGACGATGGAGAAGGAGGAGGAGGAGGAGGAAGACAGAGGAGGAGGAGGAGGTGAAGGAGGAGGACGAGGAGAAGGAGGAGGAGGAGGAGGAGGAGGGAGGAGGAGGAGGAGGAGGAGGGGGAGGGGGAGGGGGAGGGGGGGAGGGGGAGGGGGAGGGGGAGGATGTGGCCACTGAGGG